ACCAGATATAGAGAGGGAAGGGAAAAAAAGAAAAGTTTGGACCTGTATTAGCGTATTTGGCCCCAATAAGTATAAGTATTGTAAGGCCATTTAAAGCGGCTACAAAAAGTAGATACCAGAAAGATTTAGAGGATAATCTACTACGCTTAATCCGCCAAATTAGACAAAAAAGAGAATGACTATATGCACACCCCTTAGCGCCATTTTTTACTATCTGCACACCTTTAGTCCTTTTTAAATATAGCCTTTCTTGGCTAACCGTTTGTCATCATTTGTGTAATTTAATATGGTATCCGCATAGTAAATGACACCCTTATCACCTGACTCTTGGCCACATATAACTATATACCAAATACCAAAATGCTTAGCCGAGATCATGTGCCTGCTCCACGATTCACATCGCACAGTAACAATTCCACCTTACCATAATTAATTTTTGAAGCTATTCACAGATCTCATTATGGATCCTTACTATAATACTCCTCCCCTGCCTACCGAAGCATATGAACCATGGGAATCGCCTCCCCCGATTGACCGATTTGCCACCCCAGAAGAGGCCTTACCGAGCTCAACAAGTAGACAGCTACCCTGGGGTTCTCGGGGGGGTTATCGGGGAGCGAGGCAGTCAAACCAGGCCAGGAACATGTAAATTAAGTGATCAAGCAGTATACAAATGAGATCTGTGAATAGCTTCAAAAATTAATTATGGTAAGGTGGAATTGTTACTGTGCGATGTGAATCGTGGAGCAGGCACATATCTCGGCTAAGCATTTTGGTATTTGGTATATAGTTATATGTGGCCAAGAGTCAGGTGATAAGGGTGTCATTTACTATGCGGATACCATATTAAATTACACAAATGATGACAAACGGTTAGCCAAGAAAGGCTATACTTAAAAAGGACTAAAGGTGTGCAGATAGCAAAAAATGACGCTAAGGGGTGTGCAAATAGTCAAGCTCATAGTCAAACTCAATTTATATAGCTTACTGAAGAAGCTAATATGATTAAAGAGAACAGTAAGCGTGACTTATATTCGAAACTGCTATACCTGCTCCAGAGCTAGGTAATGTTGGCGGTTAACTAGGATATGGTGACGTTTGAATCTTTCTCTAAGACCTGCCAGAGTATATCTCACGAGATCAACCTTCAATAAGAAGCAAAGACTACTTCCCGCACGCGAGTTACTACTATTCTTGGTAATAGTGTAGGAACAACAACGACTACGAAGCCGACGTACACTCCCCGTGTGAAACGTGAAGAAAGCTCTAACCCCGGAAGACTCTCGAACTCCGAGAGTGATACCCTAATGAAAGAAGGTCGTTGCTTTAACTGCAAGGAGCAAGGATATATAACCCGTGATTACCCGAAGAAGAAGCTAGTTAGCATTGTTACTTTGGCCTAACCCTCTCCCCGTACTATTGAACTCGACAACGATTAGGGAAAAGCCGATACCTAGGTCAAGTCTCCTATCTAGGTGGATAGAAAGTATCACTGTGCTCGCTGGATTTATATAAGTTGATTGGAGGTCCTAGGGATAGTTTTAGTTTTGAATGCTAGACTAATGCACGATAGACGCTCTTTTTCTATCTTAGCGCTCAGTGATACTAGAGTAGATAGATACATGTTTCTAAACCGAGAATTAAGTGTACTTCTCGGTAAACGATCTAGATTGAAATTAGAGAGCATAGGATAGGAATATCCTATTCGAGGATTTAACGGGAAGCTTAGCAAGCCGATAATATATATTACCTTTCTTGCAATGCGTGTGGACGGAATGATATAGTAGCAAGTTCCGATGTTAATTGCCGATCTCAGAAAATACGATATAATCCTCGGAAGAAAATTGTTTGTAGAAAGAGAATGACTGTTTGCACACCTATAGTCCTTTTTAGGTGAAGCCTTTCTTGGCTAACCGTTTGTCATCATTTGTGTAATTTAATATAGTATCTGCATAGTAAATGACACCCTCATCACCTGACTCCTGGCCACATATAATCCTATACCAAAATGCTTATCGGAGATCATGTGCCTGCTCCACAATTTATATCGCACAGTAACAATTCCACTAACCGTGCCAAGCGCCCAACCACCCATCCTGGGTAGTTGGTGCGCCCCACCAAACGCAAAATTCCCACCAAACGCAAAATTTCCAATTTACTATCACTTTTGTACCTATTTTACACCACACCACGATGTCAGACCGAACTAAAAAAATGGAAATCCAAATCTAGCTTGCAGTCAAAGCCTTCTCCTAGGCTAACAAA